CTTGACCGTCTTATATATAAAAGAATACCGAAGTCCAGTAACATCCCGAGAATTCACGAAGCTTCGAGAATATGACGTGTTACTAGCGTCACGTGACCTCGATGATGCAACAATATGTAAAAACATTACAGTTTATATGAGTAAAATTTCTGAAAATTTTGAGCTCTGTACATTGAATCATTTTCATGCAATGAGCTGTAATTCCCAAGAAAAATACTTTTTAGGAAATGTTCTCTTTTTTCAGTGAGGTATGAATACAACAATAAGTAATTATTAGCACAAACAGCTGCCCTAGGGTGGCGTTTCTGCTAGTATGTTGAAAATATTCAAAATGTTATTAGAAACTGGAATTGTTTTCTTAAGTATGAAGTCAAATCATTTGTATATTCTTATTTGTTATTTTCTTCTGCAATAAAATGCTGTTCTAAAATAAATTTCCATACAAACATCCAATAGAGCTACCGTGAATATGTCTTGTAGATCTTTAAGATTAATTTAATTTCTATATTACATGGCTATGTCAAAGAAAAAATGTCTTTCACAACTGGTTGAAAAACCGAGTCAATAACAGTAATATTTACTTGTATTTTTTGTAGTAAAATATCTTACAGTTCAGTGTTAGCATAAAAACAATAAATTATTCAAAGTGTTACAGAGGAAAATGAAACTCAATTTTATAGACACACACACACATATATATATATATATATATATACACACAAAATAAAAAGGAAAATTCATAGTTTTTCAAGTAAAACATACACAGTAATTTAACGCATTGGCAAAATGTTATCCACAGTCAAGAAAATTTCGTATTTGAATATTGTGTCAGCTTTAACCACCAGGTACACAACTACTTCTGAGAACACTGAAACCTAGGAAAATAAAAAATATATAAATTAATGTGTACAGAATACAAAAAACGTTGCATCTCCAGTATCTAAATATATCTTACTGTCATATGTTGAAGACAAAAATAGGAATAGTACCTAAATGTGTGATAAAGCAATCAACAAAATGAGTGATAGGTTTCAGTTAACATATTTATGCTTTGTAGAAGATGAGAAAGCTCTCAATGATTGAGCTCCAGCAGTCTGGTCACTTTGGAATAGTGCTTCCATAAATGAGGTTGAAAAACCATGCTGTTTGATCAATCAAAGAATAATTGTAAGGCATCAAATAAACTGGTAAGTGTTAAAACAAATGAAAAGTTTATTTGAATAAAAAAAAAAAAGAGGAAAATTAATCAAAAAGAATCATAGAAAGTAAAACCCAAGTTAAAATCCAATGCAAAAAAAAGAAGCAAAAAGTACTAAAAAACAAAACAAAATTACTTTAGTAATTTTAAAACACTAGGCTTTTGCAGTTCACTCAACAAATAGAACTTAACGACATCAAGTATTTATTATAATTTTGCATGAATAGATCTTAAAACAAATACCTTTTCTCTTTAGCAAAGTAAGTTAATACAGATTAGTCTTATTTCTACTTGCTGCTAGAAAGTGCATCCAATTTTATATATATTGTGGACTGTGGTGTCTGTCTCCCGTTTATGGCAGCTGCTTCCTGCGCTGCATTTTGATAAGCTGCACACAGAGACAAAGCTTAACATTCACTTTTGAAATGATGGGAGAATATGCATGAATAATGTTGATGCCAAATTTTATTTTGCAAGCAGGTTATTCCACACTAAATTGTTAGGAATTAATCACACTATCATTCACATTTCAAAATGTGATATAACTTAAAGAATGAAAATGCAAATTTACCGTATGTTATTGTTGAGCGGCTCTTAGCATGACTGAAATGCTCAACAATTACTTTTCAAAGTGGGAGGTATAAGTAGCTCAGAGCTTTGACTCTGAATGAAACCAAGAGTGCAACATAATTAACCTTGAAATAATTTAAATTTAAGGATTAACTTAAACTTTTCCTGTCACTTAGGACAGGTACTTTTGCTCGTGACCTATATTAACAAATAATAGATTAATAATTATGATTCACAACAATAGTAACTCTTCTCTCAGGCAGGTTTAGAAACAAACACAATTATACAAATATATATATTTTAAAGACAAGGAATGTGGTGATGTTTGTAGAATCTTTGTGTGTGTATATATATATATATATATATTAGATTTATACTCACTTGATTTTCATCCACAGGGATATCAGATGCCTTCATTAGTTCAGTAGAATGAGGAGCAGATGGGGATTTTAATGTTTCTGATTTTATTGAGCAGAATTCAATTTTTTGGGGGGATTTGGGTAGGTTTGCTGCTTTGGGATATTTGGATGTTCGTGGTGACTTAATGACAGGCTGGGGTTTACTTGAAGGGAGCTTGTATGCCTTCATCATCTTTGGGGAATGTGAAATTTTAGAAGGTACAGGCGACCATTTGACAGATACAGCAATCTCATCCCCTTGAGGAACTATTCCCTTGACTGGTTCAATAGAATATCCTGCCTCAGTTGCCAGTGCTAATTCTTCAAATTTAAATTCTACTCCCTGAGTCAAATAAATTACAAGCAACAGATTTAATTTGTCTTTTTGATCTTGAAAATGCTCTTTTAATTTGGTTTATAAAGAAGCTGACTGTGAGTTAAAAAAAACAAACAAAATAAAACATACTCCATAAAATATTACAATCGTATTTCTTGGGTTTATATAAATTGTTAATCAAGAATAAGAACTTTATAAGGGTTTTATATGATGCACTTAATTCAATGGCCTATTTCTAGTCTTATAGCTAGATAATAAAGGGTTTACATACCTTTTTGATCTTGATTTTTTCACTTTTTACACAGCCAATCTTAAATTCTGTTATAGCTGAATTGTTTGATGAAGCCAAATTAAAACAAAATCTTTCTCTTATATCTGTGATTAGAAAAAGCATCCTGTATTTCTGTTTTCAAGCATAAAAATACAATCTTTGAAAAAGATAAAAGAAAGAAAACAATGCAAAATCTAAAAACCATATAATGTTGTCAGTTTTCATATACTAAGTAATATTGATCCAAAATCAAGATCTCAATTTCTCCATTATAATTTCCTTATATACTCACAACAATACAACTGCATTATGATCTTATCTTTTAATTTTCATTATAACTAAATTTAATTCCATATTTAATGTAACAACTTAATGGCTAATAGATATGTTATACTAGAGTATTCTATAATAGTTTTAATCACATTATTCCCACTGGCCCAATACAGATTTCCAGCAAGAGCAGTGTATAATAGCATTTAAAGTATATTTTATTTGTAATATGTCAGTATTAATAACATCTTTTGTTCAATACCAAAGCTGAACAGTCCATCTGGCCTTACAACATGTAAAGACTTAATTAAAATGTTATTTTTATCGGTCATTTCATATGGTGTATGATGGCTACATTGGCAAAGTGTCATACTTTTATGAATAATACGTACAGAAAAAGTTCAGAGCTTAAATTGTCAACATTTAAACTAACTTAAAATTACGATAAAAAGTTTTATATTAATAAATAGTGTGCAAAGTTTTTAAAATATAAAACTCAGACAAACCATTCATAATAAAAATACAAAAATAAGAAAGTCCAAAACTTATCCAAAACATATTTGTCAAACCAACAAACAATGGTATAAAATGGTAAAAAAAAAAAGAAGCTAAACTATGAACCTTTTGCTAAATAAAAAAGGTACACAATTTTTCACAGAGTAGGCTTGGTGTTTACACTTGAAAATAATGAGTTAAATCAGTGAAATGTTGTGTTCCTTCTTTATATATAATTTTGAAAATATTACATCATTTGCTGATTAATAATCTAAGTCTCAATATCCTCAGTACAATAAATATATATTTGAAGCTTTTGGTCCAGAATAAGGAAAATAAATACCAAAATATTTTCTGAAAGGTTCCGTTGACTATATTTTCTTGAGAAAGGTAGTTTGAGAAATTTATATTTAAATACGTTTTGGTACAATTTTTCTGGAATAGTAATTCTAATTAGTTGAAAAAAACATTGCTCCTGCTTTATATTTTAAAAATAATATTAAAAGTATATAGGTTAAGTTACAACTCACCAGAAGAGGGCTTCGGGGGAGTCTTGTCATGTAATTGTTGTTTTAGTCCACCCATCAAATATACAATGTTTTCACAACAATATCCCTCCAGACTAATGGTACACAGTGGCTGAATTAAAAACTGACTTTTAGATAAAGAACACATTAGGTAATAACAGAAATGTAAATGTATGCACAATTCTATTTAAGCTGTTAAGTATATATTCCTAAATAAAAAGTATTACACCTTTTGTTATACGTGTATATCTATATTACAAGGTTTGTTTATTAACATTATCATAATTTTTTTCAACATACTTTTCTCACTATATATAATGAGAAAAGTGTTTTAGGTGTTTTTGTATATATACATATATCTGTGTGTGCGTGTTAGAATTACAGATACAGAACTGAATGAGACAGAAATATGTTCAACCTTTTTAAAAAGTGTAACTTCTAGTTGTCCTCTGTAGCATCCAGCAACATTAGGATTGAAGGTAAGAAATATTTGCTCTTTGCTTTCAGCAGAAATGCTGACTGAAGAAGCATACAAAATAAAAGGTAATTCCCTTGGGTAATAGGAGCCTAAAAATGTCCAAAACGTTTATCTGATGAATAAAAACTACTTCCTTTACCTTAAACATCTTATTAGTAGGATATACTGGATTAGCAAATACAGCTACAGCCACTTGCATTAATTATGATATCAAACTCTTAACATCTATATGTTAATTGTTTTAGGAAAATTTCCAAAGGTTACATCTTTGGTTAGTTTTGAATTTTTGCAATCCATGCAGACATGTAGCATTAGTATTAAATAAGTGTTAACATTTTCACTTCTATCTATTATGAAAAAAACCTACAATAACTATTAATAATAATTAGTCTTAACTATGAGCAAGAGGCAAGCCACTAAAGCCTCTATGACCACTCTGCCTTAGGTCATCAGTTGAGTATCCTCGCTGTTAGCAGAGTTTTTGGCTCTTAAAGTTTCACACAGTCTTTGGTAAAATAAGATCACTAGTATACACTTATCTCTTGGCCATTACCATCCAAGCACATATATAAGATATTTTATACCTTACCTTTGAGGAAGCTACTAAAATTAGAAGAAACTTTTCTGACATAAATTACTTATGTTACCTATAAACACCTACTAAGCTTCTAATGAATAGTTTACAAGTACATAAAGGTAATAAAAATAATTTTACAACCACAGATGATCTCTTTTTTTTTTCACTGATTTAACTTCTAGCTTTCTTATGTGCTTAATACTTACCTTTATTGTGTATAAAGATAACCTAGAGAACTGTTTGTTTGCAAGAACATATCAATTAAAAAAATAATTAACTTCTAGCTTACAATGTAAAGTTTTTTCTCCAGAGTTAACCTCACACTTTATCTCAACAGGAACACAAGTTTTGTTTTCAATCTGAGAGAAACAAACAACAATCATATAGCTGACCCGCAAATAGTTAAATAGATATCTAGCAATAATATCATGTAGGATTCCTGACAACATAATTTGAATTATGTACATATATTTTTTTCTTCACTGAAATGAATATTTTTAATCTGAATTTTTTTATACATATGTACATATTTATATATGCACAGCACCTTAATTCTTAATTAGTTTGATACTGAATAGTGCACATATAGTATTTTAACAATTTTAGGTGTTTCAAGTCGCAACAAAAAGCTGATACTGAGAACAGAGGTAAGCTAAGATACCATTAGTTTATTTTTTAATTTAAATTAAGAAATGTTTTTAAAAGTTTAACTTGAATGAGAATACAGTAACAATAGAGGTTAGGATGAAAAAAGAAGGAAATAACTGGAGGTATTATTTTTGTTTTGTATATTGAATAATTAAAAATATATCCTTTTATAACTATTTTTACTTTTACTTAATGCTGTGATATATTATATTTTTCATATTTAAAATAAAGAAATAAAACACTTAAATATGCTTATTCCCTTTCTCTCTTCCTAATCCATCTTTCATAGTTAGCTAAAATAAACAATGTTACAGCATAATCTAGATATTAACAGTCGATGATAAAAAATAACATCTTCACTACAAACATGAACAGTCTGTCTGACGGTCTCCTCAATCATGACCCAACCAAACTGCAGAATAGTATCAGAATTCCAACAAACTTGAACCTGTGGTTCTACCCCAGTTCCTTCTAATCTCAGAACAATCTCTGTAAAGACTGGAGTTGTCACTGACACCCTGATTTGGTCGTAGTACTGAGAAAGATAAAGCATACACTATTTAAAAGTTCAGAAGAAGAAAACAAATATATTTTAAAAACTGACTGAAGAATTACATATTAAATGCATTATTACAGACATGTCATTCCTATCAACATACAATTGACACATGTTGGAGTCACAATTTGTAATCAATTGAAACCATATGGGGAATTTATTAATGTTACAAAACAGTAGTAAGGAAAATACAAAGAAAAGTAAATAAGTTGGATAATAATAGAGCATTTTGTATGCGAGCTCTTGTTTAATGCAGAACATTACATATTACTTTCATGCTTCTATACAGTTTGTCAGTGTATGATTATGGAATATTATTCTAAGCATCCTGTATTACTTTCAACAACTCTCATCAAGTTATTTGGGTGCTTTCTGACATTCTTAGTGTTAATTTTTAAACCTACAGCCTCCAAAATGTTCATATTAAGACCTTGTGCAGGTCATGCTATAGTTGTGAGTGTTCCAACAGTCTCTTTAATGTCAAAATATCATTTTACCAGAACACTGTACACTTAAGATCACTGTCTTGCTGGAAAATTAGCCTCTCTCAATGAGGGAATGGTATGATGGATCAGAATGTGTCTGTAGTTGACGTGCAGAACCAAACTTGTACTGATCCCTATGTAGACGTTGTACATCCAGTACAACATACTGTTCTCATCATTGCCACTGAACAAACTGTCATTGTTTGTTGATGAACAATTTGAGCTTGGATTCATGTGCAAAGTGCTCATGTCACCAGTTTAGGTGGTTCCACTGTTTGTGGCCTGATGACCATTTCAATCTTTTAGTTTGGTTATTTCTTCTTAACAGCAGTTTTAGCAGCTACATGTCCATTCAGGCCACTTCATGCTAACACAAATCTTGCTTTTCTTGGGGGAACATTCATATCTGTATTTAAAGCAAGGTTGTTGGCAAGATCTGTACTCAACCCCTATTTATCTCATAGAAAATATACCCTGGGATACTTATCATCACTTTTGGAGAATTTCGATTATCTACCTAGATCATTCTATTATCAATAGGACCAGCTCTATCCTCTTCAGCCCTTCATACAGCTCCTACTAAAACATTAATTTTGCTGCAGTTTTTTTGCAGGGATTATGGGCATAGTATGACTATTTATATTTGTATAGGCTTTAAGTTGATGTGGCACTTTCTGACTGTTTGGATGACAACCAATCACAGTGTAAACTATTGTTATATGCTACATTTCTAATCTTGTAATTTTTTGAATTTAGATATTGACTAGAACAAGCAACTCCTAGAATATTTGGGAATATTAGTGATCAAGAGACATTATAAAGTGTCTAGAGACTAGACTACAGATATGATTATGAATGAACAGTTAATTTAAGTATAGAAATTAGTGGATAAGTATTGAGTCAGTCAGTTTAATTCAGTATTTGGATCCATGTTAGTTATCATGTACATTCAGTTACTTAATTGATCAGCTGAAACTGTACAAGTATGTTTATTTTTGCATCAATGTCTGGAGCAAGTAAAAGAAAGACCTTGGAAAACAATGTATCAGGTGTAAATAATCAATGTGAGTCCCACTCCATCCTGAACCACACAAACATGACCAGAAACAAAATGACTCCAGTAGGATAAAAGTCACAAGTAGTATAAAGAAAAAATAGATACAGATAGGTAACTTCAAACCTATGTGTAAAAAAAATGGGAAGCCAATGGCCAGTTTATGGAATCATGAAAATGGAGGCATTCAACGAGAAATTGCTAGGTATCTACCCTACCCCAATCATACAGATGAGGTTCCTCATTCTGTCCTCAGTATTACAAGTCATAGGATCTCACGTAAAATCAAAACTAGCATATATAGTGTATGGTGGACAGGGCAAGTGGGCAGTTAGTAATATATACATCAATCCCGCTCAATAAGTAAACAGAGTGCTATACTGCAAACAATGGGAATTACAATCAGGAAGTAAGCAAATGGCATCTGCTTGTCAAACTTCTAAATCAACTGTAGGAGACAGGAAGTACAACAAACTGAAGCCAGACTTATGGGTCTGAGTCTAAGTCTCACGAACAGGGAGTCATCCTGTACACAGTATTATAAGCAGGAAAATAACGACTCTAACTGAACCATCATGCACCCAGCATTACAAGGAGGATGTGGAATGCTTGTTCAACCATAGAAACAAACATATGGAGAAATATATATATATATCTGACGTAATATCCCAACTTTGTTTCTTGCTTTTGGTGTCTAATGCTGAGCGATGTTTTCGGAGCAACCATGACTTTACATATTTTTTTGGGTTAAAGCGTGGAAGGGGCAGTCCAACAAGTTTAATAAACAAAAGTGCCAAAATGGTTTTTGTCATCAACAAAGCTCTAGTTGGGGTGAAAATCAAATTCATCTGCGAAAACCCTCGTTCACATTCAACTGAAGAAATGGGAATAGTACTCAGAGTATGTTTCAAATGGAATTTTTCCTGAACCATCTTTTCAATCAAATACTGATGAAATCCATGAATCATATCTCTTTCACTTAGCTGAAGTCTTATTGATAATTTTCTGACCTCCATCTCGCCGAATGTTAAATAAGCATCAACATTTTCAGGCCAATGTTTTTTATCAAACATGCGTGCACACTGTGCTATATCACCATCTTCACTATCAAGCAACCTATTTTCGATCAATTTTTTCAAGGTTCTGTAAAAAGCTTCTGTATCAATTGGAGAATCCTTATTGCAACCTTTGTTGTGAAGTGAAACTTCCTGGAAGTGAAGATTTTTGGCAGCTTCAGCAGCATTTTTATAATATGGGCCTGGAATCATTTGTCTTTCTTAAAACATTTGTACAAGAGCTTTTGTCTTTTGATCTGCCTTGTACAAGTCTATACCATGCTTTTGTAAGTCCAAACTCAATTCAGATAATTCTTGGAGAGAATCACACATCAATCCTAGATCCAATAGAAATTCTGTGCTTGTAATTTTTTGCTGCTCTTTTTTGTCTCTTGTAGAATCATGTTTCGCTTCTTCGAAATGTTACACTAATGCTTCATAGTTTTCTCAAACAGCTGAAACTGACCAAAAACTAGATGCTACTATCAAGTGCTTAAAATTCAGCCAATTTTTAAAATTTGAATCACCAGCAAGTTCGCACACACTTTCAGTTCTCTGCTATTTTTGGCGATGCATGATACAAGACATAAAGTTTATCTATAAACGATTTAAATCTGTTGATCCCTAGACTGATTTTACAGTGTCACTGACCAACAATTGTAATCTGTGATTAGCACAGTGCCACACAATTACAGAAGGAAATTTGTCTTTCATCAGTTTCTTAACTGTACTTTTACTCCCCAACATCACAAATGCACCATCACATGCCACACACAAAGTAAATAACTTTTCAGGTAGTCTTCATTCATTCCTTGAGACTGAAGACAATCAAGTAAAGAATCAAAAATTCCTTTTGCAGTAACATTTTCAAGTTCGATCAAGTCCAAAAATGAATTTACTGGCAAGTTCATTCCATTACCTGAGATACAGATTTGAATGTACACTATTAAGATAGATTTTTTACTCAAAGAAGTTGACTCGTCGATTATCAATGAAATTCTACTTTTCAATTTAGTAACTATATTAATTAGTATTTTTTCATTTCATCACTAATTTAATTCACTATGTTAATACATGCATTCGTTGAGTGAAGGATACCAACTATGTCAATTCCATTTAATTCTTGTAAATCTATTTCACATTCAAAATTATGAAATGATTGGTTTTCTTTTGCTACCCTATAGGCTGTGCAAAAAATTCTTACTGTAATCACTTTCAAATACACATTTTCAATGGTCTCTTTCTCAGCTTCAGCCAACAGTTTTACCATAGATTTATGTCCCACGGTTCCTTGTGATCGAAAAGTCTTTCCCGCAAAGACAGAAGCTTTCACCAAAATAAGTTATTTCATTGTTGGACAATTCTTTAGAAACTTTCATTTCTGCTTTCGTTTCCACTCCAAAAGTTCCAATTTTATGGCAAGGTGTACAGACAAGTTTCTTATTTCTAATATTCAGCCAATCATACTTCCTGCAAAAGTTATTTTTTTAATCGGCAGTCCAGCAGCTAGGTCAGTTGTTATCAGATAGCTCGTGGACACTGGATGGACCAGGAACAGAAACTGTCACTGACACCTTTAATTCCTGTTCTTGGGGTCACTTCTTCACTTATTCTTATTTATTAATAGAATGTGACGAGAAACTTGTAATTCATTTCATTTTTAAGTTGGAGTATTTTTTCAAGATGCAATAAAAACGATATACACTCCTGGTCACCATAAAATTACAGCACATCAGAAGAGTAATGCACACCCACTCAAGTTGGCATCACCACCTTGAATGAGCATATCAGACCAAAATGGCTTATTCCCGAGACTCACATGCATACTTTTATCTTGGCTGAGAAAGTGCTGTGCGATTAATGATGTTAATCGTCTTTGTCCACTTTGTGACTTATTTTATTCGAACAAATGTACAGTCCAGACCCACATACCAGTCAACTTGGCTTGTGATCACCTGTTTCCCAGTCCCAAGCAGTCTCTTTGAATTCAGTATTGTGTCCACCCAGGCTGGCTCTTATCTGTTGCTGCCCAATTGAAACCTGTCAATCAAAGTGAGGCCACTACTGTACATCGACTGATATTGGCCACATCTTGTAGGTGTTAAAACCAGGTGATTATTGATGTTCCCTGTTAATTGCATGCTAATCCTACCTGATGCTTCACACCTCATGCTGCACAGATGATCATACATATATGATCAAACAAACAGTATGTTTTCACATTACTTTAAACTTCTGTCATTTCCAAAACTTGTAGTTTGGTGTCTCTTTGGTCTTCTTGTGAACAAAAGATTTGCTCAAAGGGGAAAATTTACACCTTCATTTACATTACTCTTTCAAGTTTTGTCACCTTTCTCTCCATTTCACAATATAAAAGAATGGTGC